TTTTTTTTTTTTTTTTTGCCAGCATCAAAGATACATTTATTTATTTTATAAGTCATTATAAAGTTAATTATCATTCATACAGACTGACAGGCCAAAAATCATAATTGTCTTATACTAAATCAAGGTATATTTTTAGATAACGTTTGTCCATACTAGGTTAAAATAACTTTCTCTGTCTTTTTTTCATATTTTTTATCTTTTATTTTGTACTTTATTTATACATTGGGCTTCTCATATAAAAGAAAACATGCAATATTTAAGCTTGTGTGTCTGACTCACTTCACTTAACATTATGTCCTCAAGATACATCCATTTTTCTATAAACAACTCTAGTTTTTAAGTTGTCATTCCTTATGTCAGATTAGTACTCACATGTCACACTTGCTTCCAAGGTTTAGCTGTTATGAATTGTGATGCTATAAACATTGGTATGCACTTATCACTGTGGTATGATGCCTTTAACTCTTTGAGAAAGATTCTGAGAAGGAGAATAGTGGTTCAAATGGATTTTCTGTTTTTAGTTTTTGGAGGAATCCCCATACTGATTGTTGGTGAGTAGTACCTTTAAAAATGGCTTGTTGATTAAAAGTACTCTTGCCTCAAAGAATTGCATGAGACAAGCCAAACATGGTGCCAAAAGTTTATTTGAAGAAATGAGGGGTAAAGGAGTAAGAGAAGAACTAGCTGTGTAGAATGAACTTGGAGTAAACAAAAAAAGAAAAGGATAAAGAGTAAAACTGAAAGTGTACTCTATGTGGAGAGGAGTCATGATAGCAGGCTCCTCCTGGTGTTTGGTCTCCATTATGCTGTCTGCATCTTGTGGGAGTCCATGAGAAGTGTTGCATAGGGGGTCCTGAAAGTCATCTGGCCTGCCTAGGATCTTGCATTTGATAGCTTGTGCCCATTTCTCCAGCCAGCTCTGCCTCACCCTACCTCCTCTATCAGTTCTGCCAGTTTACAACGACCATCATCAAGAAACCAGCCAATAACAAATGCTGGGGAGGTTGTGGGAAGCGAGGGGGAACAACCGTTCTTCGTGGTTGGTAGAATGTAAAGTGTTAATTAATATTTATTTATTTATGTATTTATTTATTTATTTATTTATTTTTGGCAGAACCAGGGATTGAACTCTGGCCCTTGCGCTTGCCAGGCAAGCGCTTATTCTACTGAGCCATGTCCCTGGCCCCCCATTTTTTTAAAAGTAAATTTGTGCTGAGCATGGTAGTACACACCTGTAAGCCAAGCTGGAGGCATGCTGAGGGAGGAAGATTATGGCAAGTAAGCATGAGGGCAACTGGACTACACAGCAAGACACAGTCCTAAAAACCAAAGCCAAAATTGAATGAATGAATGAATGAATGAATGAATGAATGAATACTTTTATTTAGATTATAATATAATCACCTGAGGTTACAAATAATGCAGCTACTGTGATATATAGACTTTATCAACCTATCTTTAGTTTTTACAACTCTAGTCCTAACTCATGAGAGATATTTTTTTTTTCAAAGTTTTATTGACAAACAGATAGCAATGAGACAGTTTCAAATCAAATCGGAAGGACAGTTTCAACAAATAATACACTGCATATATTCTTCTTAGTGGTTA